TGTTGGCTTCAGTGGACTTTGTACTAGGTCCAAGAAGGCAAGAATGGTTTGAAGAATATCTTTGAAGTTACAATCATCTCTAGTTTTTTAAAGAGCATGTGAAGAACAATCATTATTCCTTGGCCCCAACCCAATATTTTGTGACCATCTCCCTCAACTGCCCCACAAAAGGAAAAGCAAGGTAAAATTTTGCATTATTTCTGAACCTAAAAAGGCTTATTTTTTCAGGGATGGAAAATGCAGTGTCCTGTAATACTTTTTAAACCTGCCTGGGTGCATTAACTGTTAATTCTACTAACTCAGAAACCATAAGAAAACAAACAAAAAATGGGCCAGCATCTCACAGAAAGGTTGGTAGGCTTTGGCACACTGAGTTTTTATACCAGATCAACATTGACACATTGAGTTTTTATATCAGATCAGTGATGCAAAAACTTCACCATAGTGGCTTAAGCCTTCAGACTTAATAAAGCTATGCCAATTGATACAAATAACTTGGTCATAGATATGCACTACCTCAAAAATAGAACCATAAGCAGCTTCAGATATTTGGGAGACTTTCTAATAGTCTGTATGGGTTTTATCATTATGCAATTTCTTAACTTTATTCTTCCAGAGTTGTGCAAATCTCCGAACTTCAATTGAGAGGTAGATGACATGAGAAATTTGAACTGCAAAACTACAACACGCAAATTATGTTGAAATCACATAGCAATCCTTATGCAAACTGTGATCAAAAAGGTGACAGTACATGCAAGCACTTCTATATGTATATATGCACAAATATCAGAAGTGCATATATACCCCCCAAAAAATCCAGATATCCTTATCAAAAGTAAAAGGTCATCTCTGAAAATAATTATTTTAAAATTCCCTTTGTAGTCCTCTCTGTGAGTACAAAAATAGTCATCTCTAGAGAAACTAAAAGTTGTCTGATTCAGTTTTATTATAGGCAGAATTGTCAGTGTCAGTTACAGCATGTTCATGTATAAAAGTGGTCACTAGCTTTGTTTAGTGAAATCCTGTTCACTGCCCTAAATCTGGCTGAATGTGGTATTTGTAGCTTATTATGCATTTCAGTAATACCTGTCCACTAATACCCAGAATGAGACCTGAAAGTAGCAAGTGAAAAATGTTGCATTTGGCAATATGGCAAATGTGGCATTTCAGGAAAGACAAGCACAAGGAAGCATTAAAGATAAGTCACTACATTCCAGGTCCAAATTCTTTGTTTTACACCGAAGTGAAAAAGGGAGCAGGGTGGTGGAGGTGTGGAACTTACAAAAGGAACAGAATTCTCTGGGAGAAACAATCATGTACACATTGCCAAATGTTTTTTAAGCACACTGGATGCTGATAAGCAAAACGACTATTGAAATTCATGTAAATTTTGAACCACCATGTCAGTGAAATTGCTGCTATTCACTTCAGCAGTAAGTAAAGTTGAACTTGTTCTCATAAGGACAGCACCACTGAAATAAAAAAAATAAAAATCTATTTGAAGATGAAATAAGATTTTCCCTAGCTCTGTCAAAACAGTCCACAAATCACACTCCTGAAATAAAAAAAGTACTGTAGTCTGACTACTTATGCTACAGGATTTCATATAAAAAGATGCTTTTTTGAACTTCATGGGAATACAGAACTGGCAACAGGTGCAACCACAGTTCAGTGGGGAGAGGTGTGTGGGGTGAAATTTTGATACATTCCTGAAGCAGCACTGAGAATTATTAGTGAGACATTTTTCTCTGGAGTTGGAAAGGGCTATACAGAAGAGTCCTCCAGCTACTAGAGTATGATGCCAAAAAATACTAAAGAGAGAAAAGTATCTGGATGTGTACTCTAAAATTATTTGAAATTTAACCTCTCTGTTAAATAGGAAGAAATATTATTGATGTTATCCACTTGCATACTAATTTTAAAAATTAGGCATTATTTTTTCTAGATTGATTAAATATGAGCAAGGGAATAATTTGGTTTCGTGATATTGTGGCAGAGAAATTAAAAGAATGAAGTATACATGAGTATAAATAAGACCAATTTAGGATTTGCTTGCACTGACTGACAGACTACAGACTTACAGTATATAAGAGATGCACATGGTATGTCTTGAAGTTTGAGAACATTTCTTCATCCTTGGGCAGGGGAATCTCTTAGTCATGACCCTGCAGTGGTTCAGACTGGGGGTCAGCTAATTAAAAGAAACCAGGGTAATTTAGAGAGATGGAGTATATAGCTAGGTCTAATCATGACAGCAGAAATGCAATGATGAAATTATTTACAGCACAAATTACAGGTCAGCACAAGCAAGAATGATATTCAGGGGTTTGAAGGAAAGTTATACTAATTTTGCTACTTTGCTGCTCAGTATAGAGTTGAATCAAGGCAATTTATTATTATTATCACTTTTAGAAGTAAGAGCTACCTATACCAGGCAATTACCCCTTTAGGACCTGTTATTTGGAAGACACAGGTTTTTAATTCCAGGCAGTTTTTGCATAGATATGGTTCCAATTTTCTTCATCTCTGGATTTTAACTTCTTTAATATTCAGTAATATCAAGAGTATGCTGATGGTTTTTATTTTGTTGCTAGTACTAAGAGGAAAAGTAATGAAACAGGTGCAAGGAAATGTTTCACTTGCCTCTCCCTGCTCTATACTGCTCCAGCTGCCTGCTACATCATTTTGCCTTGTGGGATTCAAAATTGCATATGGGTTAGTAATGGTAAAGCAGCTCTTTCATTCCTATTATTTTTTAACATAATTCACCAGATATGAAAGAGTAGCATCTCTGTAGAGGGTTTACAGAAATTTTTATTTCCTCCATAACATAATTTTTGTTACTGGTGGTCAGGTGTGTCTATGGCTCGAGGAACTTTGTTTTTCCCTTATTACCTATGCCATGTTGTATTGTATTCTGAGATCCTGCATAGGACAGGTAAGTTGCCTGCATATTTCCTGAGAGACTTTGAATATCATCATTTTTCTGAGTCTTTTATTTACTCAACAGCAACTTTTAACAGCCTTCAGTCAAAAGTTGATCGTTCTCCTCTACCCTGTATTCTTAATCATGCTGGTTTTTGCAAAGAGATAATAAGCACCTACATTTTTTCCCCAGACATTTTAATTCAGCCTCTATATTAGTCTCTTTTCAAATAATCTCTGCCATTCTATCAGTTGCTGTCAAGAGCAGAGTGATGCTCCTGATGACTACTCTTCAGCTAAAATTTCAGTTCATCTTTCACAATCCAGTATTTCTGACTGATACTCCTCACTGTATGAAAGCTTAGTGTCTGTGAAACTCCCTGTTTTTTTCTGACTCTGGGCATGTAGGGTCTTCACAGATACTGGAATTCACTCTGTATGTTTGTAGAGCCAAAACCAGAGCAATGCTCTTATCTCATAGGGTGCTGGCAGGCCTAAGGTTTGGAGGGAGGTGCAATGTATTTCTGTCCTCTCTGAAGCTGAGGGCTGGGAGAAGAACTGTCATTTTACTGGGACTATGTCATTCTCCTTTACACAGTTCACTGCTCAATCTTTACATGCAACTCATATTTTCTCCCAAAACTCTGAAATGCATATATTTTATTGCTGATGATCTTATAAAATTACAGGACTTCTTGAAGATGTTTGGTTTTCCTAAATATAATCAGGTAAAAAGTAGGTATTAAATTCTGTACCATGTTGCAAATAGACTTATGATGCTTATTCCCCAAAACAATGGTGATATAATGAAAAAGTTCAGCATTATTCTGGAAATTCATAGCATAAAAAATGGTAACCCAGCAAAACAGAAGTAAGCACTACCAAAAGTCTTAGAAGAAAAATTAAAATAATAATATTGAACACTATTATCAAGAAATAACTTTCTCAAAAGCACTCTCATATCTGCTAGATGTTATTTTTAATTTAATTTTTTTTCTTTTGTTATTGGCACTTCAAAGTGTGTCTATCACAGCTGTCTGTCCAATATATTTCCAACTACTTGAGATTTAGAAGAGGGACAAAATGAATGATACTCTTTTCCTGGAATTGAGTGTAGATGTATCCTGTATAAACAGGGCATAAATGCTTTATGAATCAGACCCTTAATTTTCACAATTTCTGAAGCATTCAAATGCATATCTCCAAAATGAATAGCACTTTTCCTTACCTAGAAACAGAATGTAAATATTTTCACTTATTACCCTCAGAAACTTGTACATTTATCTTTCAAATACAATGCTAAATGATTTCCATAAAGTGAAATTGTAGACTTCTGCTTTCTTTTGTCTAAAGGAAGAGGAAAAATTGTGTACATTTTAATTTATATGAGTGTCTGTGTCAAATTGTAGACACAAGCCTAAATATCCTGCACAAAACTGATAAGTCAATACAAAGCTTCACACTGGCACTGTCAAGTTGCCTTGCAGCATTTTTGCTCAAAGCAGCATTACAAAGTAAGAAGTAGCTTTTCACTAAATACATGGGAAAGGGAGGTGAGAATTGATATGAAGTCACCTATCTGCAAAGACCTGAAGTTAGACCTTAAATCTCCTCTCAGGAGACCATCAAACAACTAATGACTTGCCAATAAAGCCAAGCATCTACTTTGAAGTCATTGCCATGAAACTGATTCAGGCCACAGAAGCCAAGGGTAAGCATCCTTCTAACATCAGCAGATTGTGAATCTAGTCCCTTTAGGATAAAGGCTTCACAGTGTGATCCAGATCCTTCAGCCACACAGGAATACATAATCAAATGAACTAATTGTCACTCTTGTTAACAATGTAAATCTTGGGTTTAAATCTTCTATGTACAGGCAAATTTTACCTTAGTTTGAAATCAGTGAGGTCTGAACATACTTTGTGCTCAAATGTGTATTTTGAAGCACAATGTAGTCAGTTATCACAGGAGGAAACAACTTCTGGAGTATATTATAAATCAGCTGTTTATTGTATTTTAGAGATGGTGCCCACCAACTGTTCATCTTCTACCCTTAACTTTTACATCTATATAATAACTGCAGTTTCAGTGTGCTTCAGTCTCTCTTTTGAAACAAATCTTTGAGGTTATATTCTTTTATATTAGTGGCATGAGTAGTTTGGGCAGATTATTTCAACAGACTTTAACCATACTCTAAAGATGAACAAAGGTATCTTCCCAAGTAAGAGTAGGAGATACTTCTGCATTACATATACCTTTGAAACCATATTTTTTTGTCATTGGAAGGCTTTATAGTCTGGTTTAAATGACACTTGTTTGTCCAGAGTCAGATTTTGAGGGACTCATTTGCACGAAGACACTACCTCTGTCATCTTAATTTAGTATTGCTGAAATAAATAAACTGTAGATAGTAATTTAACTTCGAGTCTTGCCATGGGGCAAAAATCTCTTCCAATCCAATACTGGGACTGATCATTATTACCACAATACCTGGCCGGTGTCTTGAAGATCTATTTCTCATGGAAGTCATAAATGAGCTATATTGCAGATTAAATATTGGTTTCTCTTTCTGAGGGATCTTCAAGAGCTTTATCAGCTCTGCTGGAAGCATCTTCATTCTCATTGTTTGTCAATGGTTCTGATTCCTTTGAGTCAGCATTCTTCTGTGCATTCTGCTTCTCATCTTCTAACTTCTTTTCTTTTGCCAAAAGCCTGTAGTTGATGGCATTGCCAATGAACAACCAGATACTGGCCACAGTCACAATCACTCCGCAGACAAAATACATGTACTGATATTCACCAGTAACATCTACTAACCAACCTGAAATACAAAGACAAGAGGAGAGAAAAAGAGAATGTAGAATAGGATATGAAATAAAATCCACATCTTTCCCTTGGAGAAATATATATTGCTTGATTTTGAAGTAGGAGCAGAAAAGCATTTTGAGCATGTAAAAAATTGTCTAACTCTAACAAAACCTGTATTAATCAAGCTGGCAATTGTCATTGGAGTCACTGACAATGATAAAATATTGAAGAACAAGGTAAGTAAAGCTTAATGAATAATGACAGACAGCTTTCTTTAGTTCTTTCATTTTAATTCTTTCATTGCCTTACTATTTTATTCACCTCCTAATTGTGTTTCCTATTGTTTTGGAGTGACTGTCTGACACTCAGAGGCTGCATACAGACAGTATGTTAAAGAGGTATGTGCCTTTTTAGGCTGCTGTCTCTCTGCATAAGTTGCCTGCTTTTCATGTTTCCTTTCCTGTGACTGGTGAAAGAGACAGAAAGGCTTGTCCCTTCAGCTATCATGTTCAACTGCTTAGTTTTAAACTATGAGGCCTTAACCTATGAATTGCATCCACACCTCTGAGATAAATTTGGTCATAGCAAAGAAAATAAAATATAACATAACAGTTCTTCCAATTTATGAGACATTCCTTTTACATTTTCCCAAATCCCAAATCAAGATTTGTGCATATCCAAGTATTTAGCCCTGAACTCTGCTCCATTGTAATTAAAATTCATGGGATAACCTGCACACTTCAATTTAGCTTGTATTTGGATACTTTTACTGGGTTGAAGCCATAGTGGCAGCTTATCCACCTGATACACTTTTAAAAGCCATCAAACTACTTTAGAATTTTCTTTATTTCACAAACCCAGTGTTAGGAAAAACTCAAACAGCACTGCAAATGTACAATTCTCCTGTTAGTGTAAATAGTACAATATGCTGATTTTTATTGATGAGTAGTTCATAAAACTGATGTTTAAAAATGAAATCCTGATTTAGCATTATTTCAGCATAATATTTTATAAGGTATGAACTAGTCAAAAACAGAGTTTAGCTTTTCCATGTGTTCATCCCCTTTGTTGTCTCTATTTAACTAGTTAAATTAATTATTCAAACAGCTATAACACACAAGGAACTCCTGCAAAGCTAATATATTGAAAAATAAATAGTTGTATAAGCTACTGCTCCATAAATATTAGATTTAATATCTTTAGAGCTAATACTGATTTCAGAACCTGACTGAAAAAGCTGGACTCCAGCTGTCACAGACCTCCCACTAGGTGGCATAAGAAGAGTCTGTGTGAGAAGAAAATATTTAGTTCTTCCATTCCCAAAATGAATTTATATGTTAGAAAATGAGAAAAATATGGAAATCCTTAGGAAGTATTAAAAATTTACTTCTATAAATATTATTGTACTGAAGTGAATGGAATCGTTTTGGCATATTTAAAATTGCACTTGACAGTGCTATTCTCATAGAAATCCTGACAGTATTCTAAAGCACTTTGCTATGCATAAATGGCTTTAGGCACATGTAATCTTCCTGACTTCTCAGGCACTGGTTATGTGGGTATCATATATGTTCACAAGGCTGGCAATCTCACTGTCTTTATAGTCTCATATTACTGAGCTTACAATGCAACACGCACACACACCAAGATATACACAAATGCTTCTTGAGATCTGAGCATCTATTGTTTTAGTCTCTTCTATCATCAAAAACCTTAATATTGTAAAGCTTACTAGCAGCATTACTAATATAATACTGACTAAAAAGCTGGCAAACAGAAAATACTTGATATAAGACTCTTCATCATTTTTGCTTCTAAGAGCCTAGCAGTTATGAATAGTCTAAGCTCTACACCTAGGCTCCCTTTAAGCTCCCTTTACACTCATAAGAGAGAAGCTGGCCACACTGCCAACCTTCAGTCAGTTCACATTCTGAATGGCATTACATATTTTGATCAGCTGTAGAAACAAGCTAAAGGACTGGCTGCAAGCAGAGCTGTGGTGTGAAATCATGCCAGGGTGCAATGCTCCATGGCACCATGATAGAATGCCATCATGCATGCACCCTGCCTAGGCTGCTGAGCATGGCCCTGTTTCTTCTGACACTTCCTATTAGTTTCTTCTCTCCAGAAATGCCAATCCTCTCTGCTTAAACAAACTAAAAAGTTGTTTAAAATTTAAGTGAGCACTCCCTAAGTTGCTCCTATGTTAGAGGCTTTAACACCACAAAAGTGGACCAGTGGATTCAAACAATTCAAGAGATTAAGAATTGTGTTGGCAAGGAGCAAATTGGAGATGAACACATGCAAATCAAGGTTGCAAAGTTAGCCTTATGTGCTATCAGGAAAGCATACATTTATCACATGGATTTATGGGCCAGTAGAGATATGCTCTTAATCTATCTTTTGCACATGCACACAATGACTTTAGAGTCTCACATGAACCAGCAGCTGCAAAGCCCAAAGGTAACTGATGCAGCATACTGCAGCTACAGTACATTTCTAGTCACAGTGAAAACATTAAAGAATATTTGGAACAATGTTTATATTAGTTCAATGTTAAATTGCAAGATTATGCTGTAATGTCTGAAAAAATGGAAAGAAATAGATTCTTACCTCCTAGAGGAGGGCCTATGAGTACAGGGCAACATTCCACAATGGTGACAAGTCCAACGGCACTGGAAAATCTGGCAGCTCCAACGAGGTCCATCAATGTCTCAAAAAGAACGCTGCTAACCATTCCAAATGCAAACCCAAAAAATACAGCATATATCACCAAGCCAGTGTAATTTGTTGCCAGAGGGCACAAGATATGACAGACGCCATTATACAAAACAGCAAAACTAAAAAAATACTGAATCTTTGGCCGGATAAACCTGGAGTTTGCTACGAGTCCCATTGAAGGCCTAGCAAACATGTCAACAAAGGCTAAGATAGATAGCAAAAAAGCAGCAGAGTATTCATCAATTCCCTTGTGCTTGGCATAAGGAGCCAAGAATACTATTGGAGCAAAGAAACCAATAAACATAATGACATTTCCTGACAAATAGATCAGGAACCCTCTGTGTTTGAAGAGGGACAGATCTAGATACTTATTCATAGTTTGCCAACAAGACTTCTTGTTGTTTTTGTGCAAGGCAGAATCTCCTGTGCCTTTTTCAACATCTTTTTTCCCAGGAGGGACTGTTTTCGGTCCAACAGGTCTCATAAGTGACCCAGCCACACAGCAGTTCAAAAGAAGTCCTCCCAGAATAAGAAAGCTTCCTTTCCAGCCAAAAGCATTAAAGAGGAATTGATTGAGAGGTGCCAATGTGCTCAGAAACACTGGACTTCCAGCCATGGCCAATCCATTAGCAATGGGACGCTTCTTGTAAAAATACTTGCCAATCATGGTCAAGGCAGGCTGTAAGTTGAATGCTAAACCCAGACCTAAACAACACATAAAAGACAATATTATTGAAGGTCATGCAATGAAAAACATTTCCCCCTCTTTCAAGTTATTTTTAAAATTACCAGTATCTAATTCAGTGGTTCTCAATAAAGACAGAAACCAACTAGCATCAGAGAATGAAACACAGCTTCATTGCTATCTATGTGTGGTGATGCCAAGACTGTGTCATGATGGCATTCTGTCATTTCAGCCTGTAGCACTGCATTAAAAGTCAAAACCCTATGTTGTGTTTCAGGAATGATAGATACAGGGCAATCAGATAGAGAGAAATGATCAGTGCCTTGACTTGCTGTTTTTATATTTACTAAGTTACAATGCAATTCTCTCTTGGCTCATTTCACAAAAGTTATTAAATGTCACCTCAGCTACAATGAATGCAGTGTATTTAAATGCATAAATCTTCTAATTTCTCCTTTCCAGCCCTAATTAAGATCCAACTTGTCTACAAAACCAGAGCTTAAAATGGCAAATTATTTTAGAGCATATTCAGGTCCCCTTCCCCAAGTCACTGCTAAAGGTGGAGTTGTAGAGGACCTGCATGGGAGCAGACCAGCCACCCACATAGAAGATGAACCCTAAGGTGAACCTCTAGGCCTTCTTTCTGTATTAAGGCATCTAGGCAATAAGGTCTAAGTAGCTGTGCATCTGCTTGCTGGCACAGGAGAGAATTTTTCTTCTCTGATACGCCCATTCCTGGACTCTGACTTTATTCTTTCAGTAGGTCTCAAGTTTACAACATCAAAAATAAGAGATTTAAGACTCACTGAATAAAGAAGGACTCCTTTAGTCCCAATGTAAAGAAAGCTGAGCTTGAATATACAAGTATTATCTCATTCATTTATTACTTGCCAATATTTCACCTCACCTTCTTTATTCTGGGAAGGTAGTTTTAAAAAAAAACTAAAACCTTTTGATAAGGAGGTTATTTTCTTTACTGGCATTATGATCACTTTCGTTCATTGCTTTAGGTCTTCGATAGATGATTATGAATCATTTTATTTGGAGATTGACCCTGGGAGATTTTAGCCAGGAAACTACTGAACTGGAAGTTGTTATACTCTTCTGTGTGAGTATATATATCACAAACCTACAGACAGCTGGTACAAGCTTTCACAATTTTACTTGACTTCTGCTAGCCTCTGCCACTCCATTGCAGTGTAACATGATTGAAAGCTGAAAGAATTAATGCCAAATTACATACAAATGACTGTAATAAGTGCTGTCATGAGCCAATCACTTTTTATATCATAATTACAGTGCAGTGTGCAACACTACATACATACAGCATTTGTTGAATAAATTCATCAGTTGTTCCTCAAATATCCTAAGAAATAATTTAATATCATGCCAGCTGATTTAAAGGATTAGATAGTTCAGGTAGCTGAAATTAACTGATCTTGCTACCTTGTTGGATTGCATCTGTACACAGTGGATTCATGATCAGTAAGGCTCATTGGTAGAACCGTATTAAATATAATTTGATATAATTATAATATATAATATATACTATACTATACTATAATATAGCCTTTGAAACAGGACTCTTACCTCCAACCACACCAATACATATATACAGTTCCAGGACACTACTGCAAAAAGAGGATGCAATCATTCCAAATGAACACAGGACACCACCTGCCATCATCACAGGCCGACTACCATACTTATTCACCAAAATGCTGCTTATGGGACCTGTTGATAGAAACAAAATGCAATTACAGGCAACAAGTAACTCCATCATATATACCTTTGTGTTTACAACATGTTGGAATGCTTTATTCTTCCATCTGGGAAAATGCTAAGCTGTTTCTATATCAGTCTTACAAACACACGAGTCTGGATGTCAATATATTGCCTCCATGACAATATAAAGATTGACTAGTTATGGAGATGGGCAAAAAGATTAAAGACATCAGACAAGCAAGAGGGATTGTTACAGTTCACGGACACTCAATACTGAGATCAGTCAATGGAAGTTTTGAAAGTGCAAAGACTGAAGAATTTCAAGTATGAGCCAGGCATCAAAACTACATCTCACAGAGCTGGAAGAATCTCCAGGCAAGCAAACTAATAACTGACCTTAATACTGCAGAATGTCCTGCACCCCTACTTAAAACCACCCATTGGCTTAAAAAAATTTGTCATATCAGAATGTAAATCTCTCTGGCCACTGAGGCTTGTTTTCCCTTCACTCACCAAGAGGGTAGTGTTAATTGGCAGTGAGATGACTATAGGATGTCTGGAAAAATCTAAAATGTGGTTTAGCATACAGAACTATAAACATGGAAAATATTGCTACAGGTCCATTTTTCAGTTTCAATTGCTATTCAGTTTATGGTGTAATTACATCCATACTAAACAAACAGCTGGTGTGCAATTTAGTGTGACATGCATTATATGTTTTTTAAATGACCGTGACTAGAATAGATGGTGTGCTACATATCAAGATTAAGAGGTTGTCAAAGCTCTTTAGGTAAACCTGCAGAGCATCTGACTGCACTATATTTGGCCCAAACCATTACAAATACACTTGGTTTTGTAATAACTAAACTTATCCAATTCAAAAATTAAAAAAAAAATCCCCAACGTCATAAAAAGAAATGCATTTCAAACTCAAGATAAAACAGGCATGTGGCATAAAGAGAATGCCTTGCTTTGCATCTGATTTCATTAAATAGCCTGGGGCCCAAGATGCTCCTGCAGGCTTCCTGTCCAGGCAGCAGTCACTGGCCAGTATACTCAGCTCGTCACCAGTAAAAGCTCTAGTGTTCCTGCCCAGGTGGCTGCATCATTCAAGGTAGATGAGGCACAGAGGATAAACAGGCTGTCTATAAGAAGGTAAAGGATGCTCAGACTGCAGGCATTAGGGCTCATCTCACCCTTCCAATCTGATTAGTAGTTAAATAGTTTCCTGTGACATCTGTGCATATACTTTTTGGAGTCTCATAAAATAATGCATATTCATACCTTAACATCAATGAGGTTACATGAATTCCAGCTGTTTGCCTGCCATCATATGTTTTATAACCATGTACAAATTTCATTTAGTATCTAACAGCATCTACAATTATTTAGGCAATGCTTACATGCCAGCATGGGTCTATAATCCTTGCGTATTTTTTTCTTTTTAGCAGAAGGAAGATTAAGCAGTTTAAGTGCTATAACTGGCAAAGTCTTGCCATACATTAATGCACATTAATGCACTAAAGGACTGCTGAATCTCCGAGTCTACTTTTCTGAAGCCTGAAGTAACTGCATAACAGATGTTAAATCAGAAACTCACAAGAATATTTACTCTGATCTCTCCCTTAACACCTACAAACCATCAGCCACAAAAGGTTATACACTCCCTAAACCAAATTTAAGGCCATTATCATAATATGCTAACACTCTCCCAGCTATATTTTTGGTTTGTATCTTTCTGTTTGAGGCAAATGACCAGACTGTGAGAAGGAATAAGACAGCAACTGCAACCAGTGCCACTGAAGAACAGTTTCACGAAGGGCTGTGCAGCAGGACACAAATGCTTTAGAAGCCAAGTAAAAATTGTAGCTTTTCACATTGTTCATCATATGTCAAGGGAAAGATGGCAAAACCAATTTCAGCTATGTGAGCAGAGACTGGCTCACGCGTTTCATAGCTGTTTATGATGTTTCACACAAGGTCTATAATAATGTGACACCTATGTTCTGTTTTGATGGCTCAGCAGAGCATTCACTTGCACATCTGTATTGTGCAAAATGTGAGGATGAAGCTGCTGTTGCTGGTCTTCAACGAATACCAAGACCTTCCAGAAGAAATGCAATGCTTACAAATTATACTAATTATTGCATATTCAAAGGCAGCAAAAATCCATATTTTCCTCTTACTTCCAAGTTCAGCTTTTCAATCACCATTTAAATTTTCCTTCTTCTGCTAAGCCATATTGTTGTAAATGAAAAGCAATAAAAAAGCCTACACAACTGAATAAAAAATAGATTTATAAAGAAAATATTTAAAGGAATAATCGCTTTTTTCCCCTTAAAAGATTTTTATTGTGCTAATACGGTTTAAACATAATTTGAACATTAAACTTTCTTTTGAAAGAAATTTACTGCTTTCTATTTTGTGGAAATGAATAGAGGGCTCAAACTATGCACTATAAATTTAATATTCTTTCTGATATAGTTACATTCTAAGAGATACACACACACTCACATACATATAGCTAGCCACTTATTTGCTTTTTTCAGGGCTAAGAAAATATATGCTTCAAAAAATGATGCAACTCCGGATATTTTATGTCTAGTAACTCTAAAAACTTAAAGGATGTAAACAAGATGACAATTATTCAATTTCATAATACCTTGAGGCAATAGTACAAAGAGATCAGTTCTAAGGCCATGAAAAAGAACATAGGAAAATTTATTTGGCATAAAATTTCTATCTTCCTCAGCTCACAGGTAGAATAATACTTGTAAGTCTAAATGTATGTGGTACAGTCAATTACTTTGTAAGAGGAATAAAATCTAGGACACTTGAATTTTTTCTGCCTTCTTTAGTCATTATTTTTTCTTACCAATAAAATACACAAATAAATAAATAATTACTTTAGACAGTTCTCCCATGAATAGACAACACTTTCTCTGAGGGATGAAAAAATATTCTGCAACTCAAACGTATAATAACTTGTCAGAATGGTTACAATAGTAGGGACTGGTTTCTAGCAGTACCAACCTGACATCATTGTCTTTTATGTCCATAATGAGGCCATCTTTGGATCTAACCTACATGTGCATTCACTGTAGGAATGAATGTTTCTTTGGAAGTATTTAATCTAATATGCAATTTATTTTGTAGAATCATTTACCTTTTTCAGGATGAATAATACCAATTCTCTTAGCCTTTCCTCATAGGAGAGGTGCTCCAACCCTCTAATCAACTTGGTGGCCCTTCTCTTGACTTGTTCCAAAGGGTCGATGTCCTTCCTCTGCTGGGGATGCCCAGCAACTGAACACAATACTCTAGGTGAGGTCTCACCAGAGTGGAGTAGAGTGGCAGAATCACCTCCCTCAACCATGCTGCCGAGTCATGTCCAGTCTCTCACCACCAGCACCCTCAAGTCCTTTTTGGCAGGGCTGCTCTCAATCTGTTCACCTACCAGCCTGTATTCATACCAGGGGTTGTCTTGACCCAGCACCTTGCACTTTTTCTTCCTAAACCTCATGAGATTCCCTTGGGCTCACTTCTCAAGCTTGTCCAGGTCCCTCTGGAAGGCATCCCATCTTTCAGGTGTGTCAACCACACTACTCATATTGGTGTCATCTGCAAATTTCCTCAGGGTGCACTCAATCCCTTCATCTATGTCATTAATGAAGATATTAAAGAACACTGGTCCCAGTATGGATCCCTGAGGGACACCACTTGTCACTGATGTCCATCATGACTCTGAGACGTTGACCACTATGTTCTGGATGTGTCCATCTAACCACTTTCTTATCCATCTGGAACAGACCACTCATCAAGTCTCTCTCTCTCCAATTTAGACAGAAGGATGTTGTGGGGAACTGTGTGGAAGCCTTTACAGAAGACCAGATAAATGACATCTGTAACCCTTTCCTTGTCCACTGATGTAGTCATTCCATCATAAAAGCCCAGTAGGTTGGTCAGGCAGGACTTTCCCATGGCAAAGCTGTGCTTGCTGTCTCAAAATACCTCCTTGTCCTCCACATGCCTTAGCATGGCTTTGTCCTGGTTTGATTTCTCACTGCTGTAATGCACTAATATAATTGCAGATCATTCTGTAATTTATTCAGCATATTAGCAGTGCATTTATCCTTTTTATTTTGCTACCTGCATTAATTTAAGTATGGACTGGAGGTGAACTTTCCTGATATAAAGGTAATTTTTTAACATATATTGATAATGTCATAGAGTGTTCATAGTGTTATCGTCCCAAAGCAATGTGAAATGACTCAGCCTGAAAAATATGACATTTATTTAAATGAAGTGAATTGCTGAAAGAAGTTGAAAATAAATGCAATAATAATATTTCAGGTTTCACTAATGCTACATTGTAGATTGCATCCTGTCAAGTCAAGTGATTTAAACACATTTTCAACCACCTGCTCTGCAGAATCAATGCAGCTATCTTTCAAGTACAGCTTTATATTTTATTTATGTTTCCTATAAGGATGGAAAAGCTCAAGGAGTTCCAAGAATTAATATTAGGATAAACTACTTGCTGAGATCAGTCCAATTTTCTCTTTCTTTTTATCTTCATTTTCCCTTTTCCTTTTTTTTTTTTATAAGATATAAAATCCACTTGCAAATACTAATTCAACCACAAAGGCTTTAAGGAAGTACTTAGTTGCTGCTATTGGAATGCCATCTCTGTAATTCAGAGGAAAAGCAACTAAAAATTGATTCTGATCATGTTTAAAACCTATTCATTAAGTTGGAAAATACTTACAAATAGGAAGCTTTTCTCAAGCAGGACTAAGTCAAAATACTAAGCATCCTGTGACAGTTTTATCTCTAGTTCAAAAACCTTTGGCTAAATTCTTTCAGCACTCTTGGGTAAGCTTTAGAGAAGGCAGACAGAAAAAAAATCAAAAAAGAGTATCGATGAATTTGAATATATCAAAATGTCATGCAACTATTTTTGTTTGATTCTTTCTCATGTTCGTGTGAACGGTAACCTGTTTCTGATA